CATTGGATGGCATTATGGCAAGATATCTTCAGGAGTTAAGCGATATTTTTTATAGCAGTTCATTGTAAGGTTTCAGTAGTTGAAGGAACTGAAGTTGGATTTATCATATGGAAGTTAATTCTTGCAAAAGTAACAAGAATTCAAATAAAATTCTGATGAAGATAATTCATAAAAATTATTAATTTTATTAATGAACTATAATAAATAAGAATAATAAGAATTTTATTAATGATAAATAAAAATAATAAGAATTTATTAATTCTCATTACCTTTGCGAGAATTTTATTTTGACATATCTCTATATTAATGAACTATAATAAATATGATAAATAAAAATAATTTTTATAGATGTAGAAATATAAAAATTTATAAAAATAATTGAATATATTATATGCTATCATCATCACAAATATTAATTACCATAAAAAGCACTAATAGGTCTTTTGATTTGAATACTATTATCGAGACAGACACTCAACTTGATCATGCATCCGTCAATGGAATGCTTGAAAGGATGCTTGTGTCCTTCATTGAAGGAGTGAAGAAAAACTTGTTTCTGTATTCTCCTTTTGGACAAATATTCTCTTGCTATGACAGACAATAGTAACAAAGATAAAAAGTGCCAACTGGCTCGGTTGGTATAAGGCCTCTGGGCTCTGGCGGTCGTGGAGATTTGGGGTTGGGATTGATTTTTCAACTTCATCAAGGTTGGGGAATGGGCTACAGCCATGCTGTGTGGCCCCATCTATTGAAAAAAAAAGAAATAAATTAGACTAAACTAAATCTAAACAGTAGTCTCAACACTGTATTATAAAGGCAATTTCTATTGAACAAATAATGATAAAATATGGTAAAACATTTTCTTAATATAAAAAAAAGTTTTTCTTAAGCAAAAGCTTATGACGTTTAAAAGGGTATACGAATGTCTCTCTTTCACACACGCACATACACAGATGTGAGAAGAACTATAGATGATTCAGACTCACTTTTTAAGTGGCTGTTAGCCTGTTACAAAATTATAGGGTAGTCTTTTTCTTTTCTTTTCTTTTGATGCATGGGATGAAAATACAGCACAATATTCTCTTTTTCTTCTCCTTGAAACCAATTAAACATCAACATTGTACATTGTTGCAACATGTAGACACTTCACGGCTTGGGTAATACATTGATTGATATGATTGGTGCTTCACACTACCAAAAGATCAATTCTCTATCAAAAATCCATGCTAAGACAAGACTAGTAATGCAAAGTTGAGAAATTCTTTTTGATATGGTGCTCTCTAAATGTTTGACATTTGGGATTCCATTAACAAAACATTGTGGAAAATTTTTCCTTTTCAGAAATGTCTCCTTTTGAGAATTTAGAAAAACAAACGATTAATTAGGTTGGCAATCTTGACACTAGTCCATTTTGACCCGCTCAATGCATCCATCCGTATTCATCTATTCGGGTCAACATGAGTTGAGTGACCCATTAGGGTAAGGGGAAAAGGGTCAGTGTGGGTTGGGTCGATAGTACCCATTAGGGTCAGGATGGGTTGGGGTCAGTTGGGTAAAGAAAGGGTGAAAACTCAAGGAAAAAAGGGTTAGGAGTCTCGATTGAATCTGGTCTGCCAATCTCCTAGTAGGGGGGAGGTCTTATGCCGTCACACTCTGAAGTTTGGTTTTCACCCATGTTGTTCTCAGTATCCGATGATCGGAACCATCAACGATTTCTTCTTCTTCTTCTTCTATCTCCTTCTGCTCTTTCCACCATGGCAGAAAGGTGGAAGGTTTTCCGCTATTGTAGTGAGGAATGGCAGGTTCAAGTTTAGATTCGCAGTAGATCTGGTTCAAAACCAGATCTGTGTTCACCTTCTTCTTCAATAAGACGATGAAAGATCTGGGTTCAAAGCCAGATCTGTGTTCATCAATTTCCCCATCCTTGTTCAAAACTAAATATGGGTTGAAAACCATAACTGATACTTAAGAACTCAGAAATTAGATACGTTTTTTCTAAATTTCTTACATTTCCCTACATTTTTTTAAATTTTGATAAAAACTTATATAAAAAAATTTCCTACATTTCTATCTTTTGTTTTCTTATATTAAAATAGATAAAGTCTATCAATTTCTGTAACTTTCCTACGTTTTTTTTTTACATTTGGTTTTCTTGTACTTTTATTATTTATTTGCAATTTTTTTTGCTTGACTATATTTTTTTGTTGTTTTCATGCAATTTTTATTTTCTCCATTTTTTTGTATTTCCTGTAATTTTTGTATTTTATTTGCATTTTAGTGTTGTCTATAATTTGCAATGTTTCATAATTTTTGTTGTCTTATTTTTGCAATTTATAAATTGCTTTTATTTTTGTTATTTATTTAATTTTTTTGTGTTTTTTTTTTCTGTAATTTTTACAGTTTTTCGATTTTTATGCAATTTCAATTTTTCAATTTTTATCAATTTCTGATTTTTTGTAATTTTTACATTTTTCTACAATTTTTTATGTTTTTTTTTAATTTTCTATTTTTATGTGAAATGATACTTTCATTTACTTTTTTTATTGTTTATTTTTTCCTATAATTTTTATGTTTTACATTAAATATATTTATCCTTTTCAGTGCTTTTGAGCATTTTTATTTTAATTTTAATTTTTTTGAAAATTTTATCAATTTTTATATCATACTCTAGGTCAGGGTGGGTCATATTGGTGGCCATAGGTGGGTTAAGGTTAGGGTGGGTTGTGACCCACTAGTATCAATAAATATGGGGTGGCAAATGTGTTAGAGGGTCAATATGGGTGGGTTGATACTCAACCCTCACCCAACCCAACTTAACCCACCTATTTGCCACCCCTACAGTATTAATCTGAAAAGAAACCCTCAAACTAGTATAAGAAGCATGGTTCCAAGTATTGATATTGTCACGTGTCCCTAAATCCTTATGGTCAGTATCAACAAACTAAAAAATGGGGTATATATTTAGGTATTGATGCTTTGAACCTTGAATTCAAGGAGTTAGAATTAGGATCTTTATAAACAAGCTAAGGAGGAGAGAAAAGAACATGGCTAAAGAAGAAAGATATGCATTTGAGTTAGTCTCAAATATTGTCGAAATGTGGTTTTTTGTTGTTAGGGATTACAGAAATTCTTATGATATCTTTTATCTCCCTCTCTAGTCTCTCTTAGGCCATGTTTGAGAGTGTTTAAAAATAAGTGTTTATTTGGGTTGGGACTACACCATTAAAAAATAAGTGCTTATTTTTTAAGCTCAAATTTTCAACTTTTTTTAAGTGTTTATACAATAAGCACTTATTCATTTTTTTCCAAAATTATCCTTAGTTGAATTTTAAAATACCAATTATAAAACTATCCCTAGTTGAATTTTATAAAAGTACTTTCATAAAAGTGCTTCCATAAAAGTACTTTTATTAATGTGCTTTCGCAAAAGTATTTTTATAAAAGTATTTCCATAAAAATGGTTTTATAAAAGTGCTTTTTTTAAAGTGCTTTCATAAAAGTATTTTCATAAAATATGTAAGAAAATGAAGGACAAAAAAATTTAGAAATGCTTATTTAAGTGTTGGAGAAAAAAACTATTAAACGTCCAATAGACTAATAAGCACTTGAAAAAGTTGGGTGCCAAATGCAAATAAGTGTTTATTTGAATAAGTACTTGTTTTTAAACACTTATTTTTAATATAAGCATTCCCAAATATAGTCTTATATATATGGTTTCAACCACTCGCCATTAAGGGTGTCAATATTGGACCGGTTTTGGATTAGACCCCATTTAGTCCAAATCAATTTGGTTGGATTGAATAGACCAACAAGACATATTGGATTGGACCAATCCAGTCCAAAATATTTATTAGATTGGATTGGACCTGGTCCATCCGTAATAAATTTATATTGGATATATAATGAACTCACATTAGACCAATTGACACCATCTCTTTACATGTTTTCATAGTTGATATGGATGTGACTGCAACTCCTACGTACCTCTCACTCTCTAAAAGCACATGTATGATCAGTGTTGGAATATAACCACTGAATTGGCAATATGTGGGATTCATCTAAATTCTTATATAGCATTATGTCTACCATGTCTCTCATTATATAATTATTATTAATTTTTATTTTTTCGTATCAAATACGGAACGTCAACCACTTACTTAACAGAACTTGAATAAACTAATGGGCGAAGTAAAAAAGAAAGAGAATCTTGTTGATTTATGAAACATTTTTCATTAGGAGAAAGGAAAAGGAAGGGAACATGTTCCAGATCGCAGTAGAAGACGAAAGATTGATTCCGCAGAGTAGAAGACACGTGAGGTTGGGCAAACCTAATTGGTGGTGGTGGATGTTCAGTCCAGTCCATACTCACTCCCCCGTCGCTGAGTGGGCCTTTCATTATTTTATATTCTCCTCTGGGCTCGTCAGTCGTCACATCTTCCTACTGTTGTTTTTATTTTATCATTCTAAGCTGTTCTTGGCGCATCCGCTTTGGGTCCCACACATTTTACGATCCACACCCTCTATTTTATTCATCAAACGGTTAATAGCTTATAGCTTGATAAAGTCAATCAACGTTCAGTTTATTATCGGCGAGTTAATAATGTTGTTACTGATTTACAATATAAAATTCTTTGTATTAAAATAGTATTTTAAGTTAATTATAATTACACACTCTTTCTTAATTGCAAACGCCTATAAAATCGAACATATATCATTTTTTATTTACATCGATTCCAATACAATGCATTACTGCATAGTCACAAAAAGACAAAATCATCAAATTCCGAACAAAGGGACATTTTACACGAGATGGAAGAACGAAGCACATCAATCATGACTGTCTGAATTCAATTACACTCTCACATCATCATCCTCGCATGTCATGTGCTTCCTCCATTTCTTATTTTTATATATTTTCACAACTTTTTTTTTCTAAAATTCCTCCGTCCGCCACGTATCGCACATCTATATATCTACTTTTGTTTGTTCTCCTGTGTCACTGTGTCTGACTCTTCTCTATGTGTGATAGCAAAGAAAGTCTTCAGTTTTGTTGTTGTGAGAAGGCTACCGAGAAGAGTGGATACAGTAACAGCACAAGAATTTCGCTTCTATCTATCTTCTCCTTTTTTCTATCCGTTGCCCGGAAAACTGACTCCCCTTGCCGCAACACAATATAACTGGCACCACTTAGCTGCCAAGCTAACACCATGGATGTCGATTTCTGGGCTTCTAGGGTTCACTCCACCAAGCACCTAACTGCGATGCAGACTGCCAGACTCAACTCTGGTACAAAGTCCGCCCCATTCTTCAATTCCTTCTTTAGGATGTATTTCCATCGGTTTCGGGACATCTATTTCAGAAAACTTAATTACCCTCTTTCTAGTTGGAATTGAAATTTTAATCAATCATGTATATCTTTTTGAGCTTTTATTGGTTTCAGATGTTTTTGGTGGCCCAAGGATGCTAGTCTTGTGAGTTACTTTTGTCAAGTTTGGGGATCCTTCTTTTGCTTAAATTAACAGTTAAAATGATCGAGTTCACTGCCTGCCTTCGAAGATTTTGAATAGATTTTTTTTTTTAATCTTGTGGTCAGCCAGTCTGTTCGAATTGGCAATTGGATTATGATTCCTCTTGCCGTTCTGGATTCTAGAAGATCTCTCTAGCTAGTCCTCTCACTTGGAAATCTTCGGTGTCCGCTGGTGACTTACCTAACTTGTCCGAGGACGTATTTAATTGGGTTTCTGGGAAAAACATCTGTTTGGAGTAACTTCCTTTTCTTCTCGCCACACAGTGAAGATTTATTAATCTGTCCATTTTCTCAGTGGGTGCGTTCGTCAGATAGAGTAGGGGAATACTCTTCATCCTCTCCTCCCAAAGGCGCCAAAAAAGTTGTTACGTAACTTCTCTTTTTTTATCATCATTTTGTGTAATTTTCCGAGGTCTTTATTATTCTTTGTGTGTGTTCGTGACTTGGTTGGTGNATGGTATGATAATTGTAGGCTAGTGTTCTCCTCCACCTTATGGTAAGGTTCCGCATATTATTCCATATAACCGAACAATTCAGTCTGTATTATTGCTTTAAAGTTTCTAGATCATAGTTGTAGCTTTTAATGGTGAACTTGTAGGAGCAAGAAGCCTCCCTACAGCATCTCGTCTATCTAACACTTGTTTCAATACCAACAGAAAACCACTTGAGCTTGGATGATTCCGAAGGAGATGATGACATAAGGGCCTGGTTTCTATGCCCTTTCTGTTTTGTAGAGATTGAAGTCCCTGTGCTTTGTGCTCATCTGCAGGACGAGCACTGCTTTGATGTGAAAAATGCAGTATGTAAAGTATTTACTTTGCTTACTTTAACTTGATATACCATTGAAATCCCTAATTCCATAGGTTTTGTATCCTTGTCAATGAATAAACTTTCCAATGATGCAGTCTTGTGTAGTTGTCTTCATAATTTCTGATACTGCAAGTTGACTTTCATGTAAATAGAAAAGACACCCATGCAAACATCTATAAATTAAGGACTCAATGGTTGGACTTTATTTTGAAGGGATAAATTGCTGGCATGAACACCCATCTATAGTTTTCTTTTTTTTTGTTTTTTTTTGGTTACAGCACCTCATGTAGTTTTTGACAATCTAAATTAATGAAGCTGCTTCTTATTTTACCAAAAAAACAAACACCCATTCCTTCCCTAAAAATAATAAATAAATGAATGTAAAGAAGACAATGCATATTTATGTAGAAAGAGAATCTTAGTTGTTCCTATGAACATTGTTGCAAGGAAGCCAAAAAAAAATTGTTGTACAGGAAAAATTAGTGGAGTTGTAGTCATATTCTTTTTTCCCCCATTTCTGTTCCATGTTTGTTTATCCATCTTTTCTTGCTCAAAAATGAAGATTGCAAATGACTAAATCAGCAACACAATCAAGTGGTTTTCGTCTCCACACTTATCTTCTATTTAGCAACAGCCCAATAGCTGCTAATTTGTGAGCCACTACATTCTTATTCTTAGGCTTATAATTTCTTGGGCTCGTTTGGCTTGTGGGAATAGGGGTTTGGAATTGGAATCGGAGTCCCATTCCCATTTCTGGTGGAATGGCATCCCATTCCTTCCCCCTCCCATGAAAATGAGATCCCACACCAGCTGATTCTAATTCTGATTCCGATTCCTGTCTGAACCAAACAGACTGGGAATACCATTCCGATTCTGAATGTGAACCAAATGGACCTGGTTTGCTTCGAGCGTTTTCAATCACCCCTCTTATATTCCATGCACCTGGTTTATTTTAATGTTTCAACAGGTCAATGATGGGCAGTCCTTACTCCCTAGAAATTAGACTATTTTTCCATCCATTGTTTATCCATCTTACTGCCACCCTCCAGCACTACCAAAAGGCTGGGCTTGCCTAGAAAATGGATTGTGAGAGTTGACAAGTAAAAATACAGTGGAGAATAGTACACTTTGATAACCATATGGATGAGTATGCTAATAACAAACCATATCAATGAGTATGATCTAATTAAAGAATAAGGCAGAGAAGGATAATCCAATTAGTAAAGTATATCTGGATAAATGATGGATTCCAATTTGTTCATATTCCTTTTAATAAGTAGGTAGACTTCTAGTGAGAAGACAAATATACCTTAAATTTTAGACAAAAATAATGTTGCCTTTTCAAAAGGTTACTTTTCACCACTAATTAGGGGCATGGTGCATTTGTAAAAAAACAAGGTCCTCCCAAATCCCATGCTAAATGAATTGTAAATTAGAATTTACAATATTTTGCGCTTACCAACTCAAATGTGTTTTTTTTTTCTCCGAATATTTTGCATTACTCAGCTCCACTTCCATGCTACCTTATTAGTGGCTACGTGGTGTCAAAATATTATTTGATATTTCAAGACAAGCTGCAATATTTAGGGTCCATTTGGTTTGCAGAAATAGGGGTCTGGAATTGGAATCAGAATGGCTCATTCTGATTTCAACCGTTTGGTTGGGTAGAATGGGAATCCCATTCCCATTCCTGGTGGAATGGCATTCCCCCATTTGAGGTAATGGCCATTCCCTCCCCTCCCTTGGGAATGAGAATCCATTCCAATCAATTCCAATTCCGATTCTGATTCCCGCCTGAACCAAACAAGTGGGAGGAGTAGACCATTCCGATTCCGATTACGAGGGATTTCAATTCCAATTCTGACTGCAAATCAAATGGACCCTTACTGAGGAATCTGCATGGAATTTGTTCTGATGTACATTAGCTTTCAACCTACAATAGAGGTCCCTAGAGACATAGGCTGTAGCTTCCTGTTTCAAGGATTGGTGAATAAGTTGGCAGGCACACATCACTTACCAAATGATAATTTTTTTGATAATCCCAAACAATAAACTATTTTAATTAGTCAGTAACTATGTTTTAAATTAGTTGGTGGGCATTCACCAGACATCATAGAGGATAATCTTTGGTCTTGTTAGTTGCATGATTCCTCACTGCTACTGACTGCTGTTTGAGATGATTTTTTTTATCAGCTTTAGATGATCATGTTTTCATTAGCCTCACAATCTCTTCTTTGTGATTATTGTATTGGATCTCTTTGTAATTTGGATAAATAATTGCTGGCATGAACCATCATCACCATGTTCTTTTTGTAGGTATGCCCTGTATGTGCAGCAAATTTAGGCAAGGATATGATTGGACATTTTACAGTTCAGCATTCTCATTTGTTAAAGGTATAAATATATAATTCAAAATTGCAGATTAGTGGTCATACAAATAAGACTCCCATGAGCATCAGTTATGCAATTAAGGTTCCTACAAATAGGAGGTTATATGTTTAATTGTTTTTGCTTTTCTGCAGCGAAGGAGAAAATCTCAAAGATCAGGCCTATGGACAAATAGCTCAGCAATGCTTGGCAAGGAACTACGAGAACTAAGCTCTTTTCTTGGAGTTGGTTCAACAAATGGAAGGGTTAATGCATCTGATTCTACACCTGATCCACTGCTTTCACCATTTCTTTGCACTGTATCTCTTCCAAATACCAAATCTGACCAGGATACAAGCTCCAGAAATGATAAAATAGCCACTTCTGATGTGAAAAGGTCTTATCCCCTGTGCCAGTTAATACCATGAGAAAGTTCATACAGATACATTATATCATGTTTTTCCAATATCATAATACTTCAGTGATCATAGGTTTTCAAGATGATTTTTGGATTGCATAATAATGATTCTTTCTACTCTACCTACATGCTACATGGTATGTGAAGGATTGGAATATTGGTTTTGGAGGATATCACCTACAGAAGAAACCGATAAAAAAATAACCTACAGAAGAAATTCCTAGATAACTCCACCCACCTCTTACAGGATCATGGCTGTATCACTCCTTATTGAGGTCACGAGTAAAAGTTGTAGCCAATGTAGGCCTTATTTGTTTCCGCAGTTGTAATGCACCCCCATCTACAGATCTACTTCTAAAGTTCTAATTTATAACTTGTTTAGCCAACTTAGGGATTCAATCCTATGTGTTGGCCATATTCTGCTAAAACTCATTGGCCAAGACACTCCACCCCACCTCCACACTTCGAAACAAATGAACAGGAAAAAAGTTGCAGTGAGATATATAGGAAGCTGCATATTGGTATCATTGTCTTTTTATATGTGTGGATTTATCTTCTTATGTCTAGTATATCTGAGTAGTTTATTCATGTTTTTCTTTTATAGGATTTTTTTTTTCTAGTGAACCAAAGTTACAAGATTAGTTTTTTATCTTCCAAGAACAAGAAGATTTTATAGGAGATTAAGAGAGGAACCCCATGGTAAAATAGGAAGGATGAAACCAGGGATGCCAAGGCAAAGAAATGTAAAGTGAAAAAGAGCAACACTAAGTCAGCTTTCAGACACAGTTTTGCTCCAAGACACCACTAATTCCATCAAATTGTGGAAATGTTGGTTTTTCAGTTTTTTTTTTTTATCTATGGTCATATAATGATGATTTATCCTCCAAATAAGAAAAACCATATGGGATGTTTATTGCTTATATTGGTTCAAAGTGTAAATTCAAAACATGTGGATAGAAAAGTAGATTCATGTGGAGTTGGAGTTGTTTCTGAAGGACTAAAAGATGGATCTCTAGAAATATGTACATGCATTATGATATAGAGTGAAACAATTGACACTGTTGGGGAAATTGTATTGGGGGATGTGACCTTTTTTTGACAATAAAGGAAAACTTATTAAAGAAAAAAGGAGATACAAGGCTGGGGATTGGGGGATGGAGCTGTCCCAATGGTCTTTCTTTTCGATGATTCAAGAATAATTTTATTAGCAAAAGATGAAGATTGTTACAAGCATCCCAAAGAGAGGCACGAGGTGTGACCTCTGCTTATAGAGTGAAGATTACATCAAAACACTAGAAGGAACACATAATAAAGAAGCCCAGTACAGATGTTCCCTATTGGCCCCTTGTTTGGAAAGACAATCAGCCAAGTTATTTTCCAACCTGCCTACCTTATGTGAGCTAAAATTCTTGTTCCTTGTTAACCACTTAGCTTTCTTTAAGAGGTCCCTATAGCACCATACAACTGAGTCCAGATTTGACAACCACTTCATAATGATTCTAGAGTCTCCTTCAATTAGTAGATTCTTCACACCAAGTTGATTTGCAATCTGAATACCTTGTATAGCCGCTAATAATTCAGCCCTATTAGAGTCTCCTAATTCAACTGGGCCAGAGAATAAGGTTGAAATGATGCTGTCCTTATCTCTCAACACCCCTCCTATACCAGATGGGCCTGGGTTACCCTGACAACTTCCATCAGAATTCAGCTTTATGCTTCCTTAAGGAGGAGGAACCCACTCTACAGTAACCCTGTCCTTCCTGGACGAGCTAATTGCCACAACTGACCAATTCCTCCAAGGATCATCAAAGGAAAAGAAATGGAAGGAGTCCATAGTTCTCAACCAATGAATTGTTCTTTTCAAAGCGCAATCCTTGACATTTAAGAGGCTTCTTTCCTTTTCTTGGAATATTCTTGCATTCCTTTATTCCCAAATTGTTCAGAGGGCAGTTGCTCTAATACAATTCCACATACTTTCCCTCTTTTAGTAGGCACACAATAAAAGACAGATCAAACAACAGACTTACATCTGTAGGTAGGTTCTACCTGCACACAGAAAGCAAAAATCCAATTCCAAATATCTGCAACAAACATGATAGCGGGAAAGATGATAAGATAAATGGCTATTTCTTAAGGTCTGCCTTTGGATCGCATGAAAAATAATTGAGAGGAAGTAGTGAGTAGGTACAAGGAAGAACTAAGTTCTGTTGCTTGGAACAAGCTAGAAATATGATTAAGAAGAAGTGCAAGTGGATATAAGGAAGAGGAAGAAGTTTTGTGGCTTGGAAAATGTAAAACCAGAAATTTAGTGCTAATTTGAGGTTAACAGACTCAGGTGGAAAAGATTGAGGAATGCCTGTCTCCTATCTATAAAGTAAATCAAAATTTTGGCCTTCTGTAACAGTGCCATCAAGGCTTATGTTCTATACTGGCAAATATTTGAAGAATATCCTTCATTTTTTCCCTTTCTTTTCTTGGGTTTTTGGTAGTCAATAATTAACACAACAATTTGGGTGCTTTTTCATAATGTCATTGTTGTCAAATCGGACAAAACATACTTGTTTAGTTGCAATTCATAAAAGCATAAAAACTACTGGAAGTGCTGTAAGAATGAGAATGAAAGAGCTAGAAAGAATATGATATTTTCTTCTGGTATTGCAAGACATGCCTTGTTTTCTTTTATCAAAAAAAAAAACAAAAGACATGCCTTGTTTTCTCATTGTTTTATTGTTTCACTCCTTTGCGCACTCATGAAATGTGGTAAGATGCTGAAATATTCATGTAAAGCCTTGTCTATTAATTTGGACATCTTGGATTGTAGACTTGTAGTGTGATGCATCTTGGTGAAGGGCTGAAGCTAAAGAAATTTGGACTTGATGCATTTTGGGGATATAGGTTTCAGTGCAGTAGAGAAACTAATTATTACTTTCTCCTTGATGTATTCAGTTGTATTAGATGTTCAAGAACCAGAAAAGATATAGGACTGAAATGCTTGGAGGAAGAACTAAGATTCTTATATAGGATGAAAAGGATGAAGTCCTAGGAAGAATGTGGTGCGAAGAAGAGGGAGATTAAGGCTCTGAATTATGAGAGAGAGACTTAGATTTAAGCAGAGAAAAGAGAGAAGAAAGGTAACACCTTAAAAGAAAAAGAGGAGAAAGAAGATGACATTCTTACCTACAAGTAAATTCAAAAGAAATTTTCCATTCCATTAAATCAACTCTAAAATTTCAATTACAACAATACTAGTAATAGATTCAACATAAGAGCTCTGATCTCTCTTTACAGACTCTAGTTTCAACTAGAAAATTGACACAAAGCAACTTCGAACTGCTTGAAAACTAAGACAACCAAAAAGATAATCCATATAGACAAATAAAAGACTCCAACTCCTACAGTAACCCCAAATACACACTATTAATCCTACTAAAACTAAACAAATAAAAAACTAAATAGTGACCAAAAAATAGAAAGATCCAAATCTTGTTGGCAGATGGGTGCCAAAAAAAACAAAAAACCAACACCCTATCATTAAAATGATTTATTGATTTTACCTCTCTGAGAACATGTCAGATTTAATAAGATCTTGGTCCTGTTGGATAGATAATTATCTATCTAATGATACCCAAGTCATGCAAAATAAACAAGTCTTGACTCCTAAAGAATAGGTTGAAATACAAAAAATGTCATTGCATCTTCAACTTTTTTCAAAATTCAAAAACCTCTTCTATGATTCTATAAACTAAATTGATCCTTTAAAATGATTAACCTTATTACTAAGATACTAACAAACCAGAAATAAATTCGAAAATATTCAAAAAAAGAGAAAAACTAAAAAAAACAAAGACCATTAATCCCTTGGCTGTGATTTAGGCTATTTGGGGCGAAAGGAATAGGATGGTTTTCAACCAAAAATAGTCTCAATAAGAAGTCCTGATTAATCAAATGGTTGAAAGCTTCAGAGGATGGTTGAATATCAACCTACAGTTCAAGGATGATTTTATGTCTTCTTTTTTGATTGTTGACTTTTTTGGGGTCTCTTAATGGTGTTCATATGTACAGAAGTAACAACTTAAATAACAAAAAATTACAAAATGGCCATTGGATGAGGAATTGGGAGAAAACTGATTTCTTTCTCCATGGATTCATTTCTTATGATTGCATTAGATTCATTAGAAGCATCATTTCTGTAATAGACTGTTAGGGACTGCCTAACTCAGGGACTCTTTCGAGGGAGCCTGCCTCTTGAATGAGAGAGAGAGAGAGAAAGAAAGAGAGATTGTATTCCCAAATTGATAATCCCCTCCTAGCTTCTTTTCCTTATTTATATACTGCTGTTACAATTCTGTTATACCCGCCTCTCCACT